GGCACCTGTAGTCCCAGATACTTGGGAGGCTAAGGCAAGAGAATCACTTAAGTCCAAGAGTTTGAGGTTGCTGTGAGCTGTGATGTCACGGCATTTTACTGAGAGTGACACAGTAAGATTCTGTCTTAAAAAAAAAAAGGACAAAGGACTAATAGTGGTACTGAGCTCCAAGGGTGGCTTTACAGGGGATGACATGCCTTTATAAAGCCACAACTCAGCCCCTAAACAGCAATCCAGAGGAAGTTAGCTGTGCTTCCCTCAGAAACCACAGATAGGTGAAAATCAACAGACTCTTCAAGGAAGATCTGGAAGGAGGCAATTAGAGATAGGGAGGGCCCCCCTGAGCTAACAGACCAGCATGCTCCTAGCCAAGTCCTAGACCCAGCATCCCAGATCCCAGTCAGCTCACACTGGGTGGGGAGGTTTGTCCCAGCACTGTCCCATGAAGAAAGGGAGTAGGGTCCAGCCAAGGGCCTAATGTCTACCTTGGTTTTCCCTTCCTTGAGCCCCAGACCTAAATAAAGCAGGCAAGGAATAGACCTAGGGACACAAGACTCCCAGCCAGGCCCACCTAGGGGGTGGGTGGTCTTTCCTAAGGCAGTGGGGTAGCCAACACACACTTGGGGGGCCTCCTTACTGTGTCCAGGCGTGACCCCTGGGGGGAGGTTGAATTCGGAGAAGCCTGAAGCCCTGTGAGGGCCAAAAGGTGAGAAAGAATCAGAGGTACAGCTGTCATCAAACTAAGTGAGACAGGGCCTGTGCCAGCCCATAGGGCACTTTGTATAATTTAGAAAAAGGTGCTCTTTTCCCTGGGTGGGCATGAACTCATGCCAGGACGCATAGCCTGGTTAACGATGTCCCCTCAATTTCTAGTACCTACCTGTCATCTTGTTCAGGCACCCTTGGGCAGTGTGCAACCTGCCCAACAGTACATGATAACCCTGGCCCTACAGCCTATCCAGATCACACCTGCCACTACAACCAGTCTCCCAGTTTAGAGGGGCCGTCTCACCCTTTCACATTGCCCTTGGGTATTTCCTATTCACCTAGACAGAAGGTCCTGCCCAGTATAGCCAGCAGCTGGCCTATCTCTGTCCTCAGGCTCTATCCCTGACCGATCCAGACTTACCAACCATGTGCTTTCGCACATGAGCCATGGTATAAAACTTCTTCTCACAGATCTCACATGAGAACTTCTTCTCTGCATAACCATGCACAATCTTGTTGTGCTCATGGAGGGACCAGAGCTTCTTGAATGCTTTGCCACACGTCACACACTGTAGGGTAAAAAGACTTTTAAGCCCAGGGCCCCAAGCCAGGATGTATGACTTTGGACAAGCTGCTGCTCCTCTCTGGCCTCAGTTCCAGGAGAACAGAAGGGGAGTTTGCCCCCAAGGTGTCCAACCTCTTTGTTGCCTGAAGGGACCTGGTACAAGCAGGGGGAGGCAGCAGTGATAATGCCCCAACTCTGCTGGGACCTGTTTTCTTGATGTCTAAGGACCAGCCAGAACTGATGCTGTTGAGCTGGGGATGGTAACTTCCTAAATACTTACCCTCCCACACATCCAAGGCTGAGGCCTGGGGCCCTCCTTCATCCTTTGGCTTAAATAGGGTTAGGGGGTCGCCTCTTCCAGGAAGTACCCCCTCTGCACCCATTTCAATAAGGCCTTCCCAAAGCATCATGCTCTCTATACAGAGGATATGACCACTGGCTGAAGGGCAGTATCAGGTGTGGAGCCCACACACACAGTTCATGGAGAAGCCCCTCAGACAATTAGTAGATTATCACTGCTGCCTCCCCTGCTTGGACGCATGCCATGACACCCTGCAGATCCCTAAGGGGATGGGCTCACAGGAGTTAGCTGAGGAGAACTGTAGGAGAAACCAGGTATCTTTAGGCAACAGAGGATGGCAGGGACCTTGGGGTCTTGGACCCTTGTCCTGCCCATTCCTATAGGACTTCCCCAGAGGGCTGGAGTCTAGGCCAGGGCCTGGGCAGAAATTGGGTTGGGGGCCGGAGTTGGATGAAGTCATGAGCTTCTCTCTTTAGGAGGGAGGCTCAGTTATGAAGTAGGTGGAGAGTAAAGGGTAGCCCAGTAGGCAGGCAAGTGGATACAGGTATGTGAGGGTGGGGCAGGTTACCAGGTGACTCCTAGGTAACACTTTCTCCACATGGTGATGCAATTAGCAATTAGCTCAGGTAATTAGCATCCGCCTACTTGCCACCTTTTCCCCCTTCTCCTGGACCAGAAAAGGTACAATCTCCACCCTGGTAAGGAGCCTGGCTGGCTATGTGCCATGCCTACTCTGAGAAGCTAGGCTGGCACAAATGGACTCAGGCTGGCCCATGTCCTGGCAGCCAGCCCCGCTTTCCTGATTAGGCTCCAAAGACCCTGCTCTTCCCAGATTTCTCATCTAGTCCCTTTTCTCCAGGCCAGGGCCGGCTGGCATTTCCAAAAAGCTGAAAGCAGGGGCTGCCTCCTACTGAGCTGCCCCTCTAGCTCTAGATAGAGCCTTTGTGGGAAGTGGAAAATGGTACCCATCCTGGGCAAACCCCTTCGCCTTACAGGTGTACTTTTGTAGTATACAACCTGTGAAAGTTTACACAGTGGCCCTGCTGGCCTTTCTGCAACCCAAGGGATTTATTAAAACATTGTCTGACTCATCTCTCCCCAGAGCTGGCTGTCCCCTGCTCTCATCTGTTTAGACAACTGACATTCTCATCCTCCCAAGTCCATGAGACCCCTTTGTTCTCAGGCCAAAGGTACTGTTTGTTCCAGGCCTCTGTGCATCTCTCCATGTACCAAAGCCCAGCTCTATCCACCTCTTCCAGGAAGCTCTCCTAGATGTTATCCTCTCAGCTCTCACCACCCTGGCTAGTCTGACTGTCTGGGGGCTAAGTCTGGTCACCCCAGGCCATCTGGGCAGTGTGATCAGCAGGACACTAGGTGACTGGAGCCCATTTTGGGGCTAGCCCTGCACCCACCAAGGCCCACCTGGATGTTGCGCTCGCAGTCTGTCTGCCGGTGCAGCAGCAGCTCGCTCTCCAGCAGGAAGCGCTTGCCACACTGGTCGCAGATCTGCATGCGGCTATGGGTCACGTTCATGTGTTTCTCCAGGTACCAGCGGTTGTTGAAAACTCTTGGGCACTTCTGGCATGGGTGGTGCTGCTTCTCCTCCAGCTTCACCTTGGCCCCCAGCCCATCAGTGGCTGGAGGCACTCGGGCCGGTGCAGAGGCCACTCTGGCAGACAGCTTGGGTCGCTTCCCACTGCCCTGCCCAGCCTCCTCAGGCTCAGAGGTGCCCTGGCGCCGGGCATTCTCCCGAGACCGCGTGGCCATGCGGCTGTGGGGAGCGGGTTCAGGCCTACTGCTCCGGCGAACGGGCGACCCCTGCCTGCCCCCGGCTTCCCCCTCCTCCCCCTCCTCCTCCTCAGAGCTCTCTTGATCCTGCTCACTGGGCCCTTCCTCTTCCTCCTCCTCTTCCTCTTCCTCCTCCTCCTGCTCACTATGCCCTTCCTCCTCCTCTTCTTCCTCTTCTCCCTGACTGCCACCGTCTTCCTCTTCCTCCTCTCCTCCACTGCCACCACCCTCCTCTTCCTCATCTTCTTCCTCCTCTTCCTCCTCCTCCTCCTCCTCCTCTGAGTGTCTCTGCAGCCCATCTTCCCGGCTCAGCACCATGGTGGCCGGGCTCGTCCCAGGGCCAGGCTTCCCCTCAGGCCCCGTGGACACGTGCAGTGTCTGGTTGTTGAGGTTCACCTCCACGATGATCTGGGACTGCTCCTGGCGGCTGTAGGTGCCAGAACCCCCAAGCTCTTCCTCCAACTCCTCCCCACCCTCCAGCTTGCATAAGCTGGCCTGGGGCCCGCCAGCCTCCTCCACACCACCCTCCTTCTCCTCCTTGAAGAAGGTCTGGGCTGGCCCAATGGTGGTAGGCACTGTGCTACCAGCAGTCCCTGCTCCATCCTCAACACGCACTGAGTAAGGGTCAGGGCCCTCACGGGCATAGATCTTGGGCAGGCCTGGGGTATCTGCCTCCTGCTTGATGTCACAGTAGTAGGGTGGCGCAGCTGGGGTGCAGCTGGCAGCTGGCTGGGCCAAGGCTACAGTGCCAGAACTCGGTGGGCCTAGGGAGCGGGCATCCAGCAGCTCCTGGCAGGACGCGGCAATGTCAGCCATCTGCAGCAATGAGGCGGCGCTGAGCACCTCGTGGACGTTGGCCGCGTTGACCAGCAGCTTGGACGTGTAGATGAAGTTGAGGATCTGCTGCAGGCCACCAGGTGCCAGTGCCTCCAGGGACAGCTCCACACGCTGCAGCTGCTTGTTCTGGGTGAAGAGTGAGTGGAAGAACTGGCTGTAGGCAGCGAGCACGCCCTTGTGTGCCGGAAAGACGCTGCGCTGGGGCACCAGCACGAGGTCCACGTCACAGAGGTCGGGCTGGAAGAGGCGCTGCTCATTCAGGCGGCCCATCAAGCAGGCAAAGTGCAGTGCCACGTCCTCCACCAGCGAGAACTCAGCCGCTGGTGAGTCGGTTGTCTTTTCAACCAGCAACTGTGGGGGCAGAGGGCACAGGAAAAGGTCAAGGCCAGCGGGCCCTGCTCACCCCGCTGCAGCCTGCCTAGGAGATAGACCAGCACTCTCAGCTCCACTTCACAGGAAAGGAGCCGGAGCTGAGATGAGGAAGCAGAGGACTGGGATTCAAGTCCGAGCCAGCTGTCTACAGGGCTCAGACTCCACTGGTGACCTTTCCAGGCTGAAGATCAGCTCCCAGGTCAGTCACTTAACTTTTCTAGGCCTCTGGCTCTTCCCCTGAAAAAAGGGAAAAGTCATCCTGGAAAGGGAAGGGGAAGGAAAAGGCACCATGGTGACCATTCATCCAGGTTCGCCAGGGGTATGGGGGTTTCCTGGGGTGCATGACCTTTAGAACAGGCAAACCAGAACTAGGTGGTCACAGCAGCAGGGACACAGGCATCCCTCCAACACTTTCTGAGCCCCAGGGATTCTCTCCCACATACTCCCTCATACATACCAGCAAAAACAAGCCTGACCAGGCCCAAACAACCCAAGAACAGAAGTCAGGCTCACTGGTTCACTTACAGCCCAGCTTCTGCCTACTGCAACCAGGGACCCAGCACCTCATCAGCAGTGAGGCTGCTGCAGAAGTAGGAACTCCTGAAGAGGTCCAGGCCCAGGGACTGTAACTTCTCCCTGTACCTGCCTGGCTTGGTCCCCAGCAACTCCCCCTCACACAGGGTTGTGTGGGGATAGAAGGGCACAGCTATGTTACCTGTCTACCATGCCTACAGGCAGGAGGTCCCCAAGGCCTGCCCCAGACCTTTTTCCTCTAGGTCAGTGGTTCTCAACCTTCCTAATGCTGCCAAGTATTTTCATTGTTACAAAGGGGTCGTGACCCACAGGTTGAGAACCACTGCTCTAGGTCAACAATGGTCCAGGCCCAGAGGTTCCCAAATGGCCCTGTCTTGGAGACTGTACCCCCTGGGGCCTCTGAAGCCCTTGGGGAGCCCTCAGAGTCTGATGAGCAGACTATTGGTCCTGTGGGCCACATCCAGCACCTGTTGATGTTGACCCAGAATATGAGTCAATTTAGTCACCCCTGGCTCCACATGGTGGGCAACACATTCAGGCAGCCCACCCAGTCTCTTGCACAGGGCCCAGCACACAGCAAATGTTTAATATCCACCAGCTACCTTCCCGGCTGCACCAAGTTCTGGCTCTCCTCAGGGCCTGAATGGCAGTGTTAGTTTCCTATATTTGGTAGGTATCTTGCCCCATAGCCACAAAATCATTAGCTTCCCCACCACTACCACCAACATGGAGGCCCTGGAAAGAACTTTGGCCCTGTCCATCCACAGTCTGTGGCTGAGGCAGCAGTGGGTAGGCTCAGACTAGGTAGGGTGGTGGTATTTAAGCTCAATTTGTCAGTCACCTGAATGGGAATTTGCCAGGGCCTTAGGACCAGCCTCACTGAGCCACCAGGGGCAACCTATTTCCAGACCTGCCCTGGCCCCTGCCCTCCACACCCAGTGTCTAGGCAACACCCACCCTGGCCATGGATACCATCTTCCTTAAGTTCTCCCACCACACTTAAGTTTTCCCCCAGCTTCTCAGCTGCCCCTCTGTCCTGAAGCTACTGGCCTGTCCAGGCCTGGCCAATCTGACTGGGACGTGGCACTAAGCCCCTCCCATCTCTCTCCTCTGACTCACTCTGACTCATCTTCTGGGACCAACTCCTACTGCACAGATGAAGAAACTGAGGCTCAAAATGGGATGGTCCCCCAGTCCAGAGCCCCTGGATTCAAAGCTCTGCAAAGGCCACCTCTTCCTTACTGGATTGGGATACCACTCTACATGGATCGGTTTCTTAGTCTTTAGGGACATAAAAAGCAGAAACCCTTCCACTCAGAGACCCCTGTGTTTCCCAGACCCCAACACTACTCCCACTACTTGCTGCCTTCTCTCCAGAGCCCCTATAACTGCAAGTCAGTGAGGGGTTAGGGTACAACTTGAGTTATAACAAGGGTTCCTTAGGACATCCAGGGCCCAGACAGTGACAGAAAAAGTACCCTGGATAGGGGCTTCCCAAAGCCCGGTCCTCCCCATCCCAGGCCACAGGGCCTCAGACCTACTCTCTCTTCATGAAACACCCTCTAGTCCTCACCTGTGTCCACCTGCCAAAGGGAAAGGGTAAACTTCCCATGTGCAGATTGGCCCATAGGGCAAGTGAGGCCTGGCTTCCTCCCTCTGGCCTTGGCAGGGAAAGAGGGCAATGCTATCTCAGCAGCTCCATTCCCAAGATAGCACTCCTAGCCACACCAGCACCATCCTTGGCCCTTGGGGAGCCCAAGAACCTTACAACCAGTCCCTGACTGGACTCCCTTCATGGGGCACACAGATGCTGCTCATGTCCATAGCTGGCAGCCCTCTCAGCAAGGTCCACCTGTCCCCTTCCCCAGCCCCTCCCATGCAGTGCCCACCAGCTGTGCTGGCCTCCCCAGCCAGATGTGCCAGTTCCCTGAAGCTGTAGATGCCCCTGCCCATATGACTGTGCCAGTTGCAGCCACAGATCCCCAAGCTCAGGCCACCCCAGCCTAGCTAAGATCCAGGACCAGGGTGGTGGCGGCATTCTTATTGCCAGGGGGTTCCTGCCCTTGAATCCTTCCCTCAAGTCAGGTGGGCATTGGCCAGGTGCCAGAGACACCTGCTGGGGCTGCTGACCAAGTCACAGCCTTCTATATCTGAGGGGTCCCTTGCCTCACTGCCACAAAGCCTCCCTGGAAGGCCTCATGATGAAATCCAGAGAGTCCATCTGTGCCCCCTCACTCCCACACTAATACTTCTTCACTGGGCAGCAGAGGGTTGGACCAAGCTAAACAAGGGGGCACAGGCTCATGACCTTAGGCTCTGCCTTTTGGGGAAGGAGTGTCTATGGCAATCTCTGCGTTCATTGCTCCCCTCCTTCCCCGGAAAAAAAGACCCAGAGAAGGCGGAGTACCAGCCCAAGGTCACACAGGAGTTTGTTTCAGAGCTGCAGGAGCCCCCCAGCCCCTTGACCTGGGCCGTCCCGAATCCCCAAGCAGAGCTGCTCCAGCGCCCACGTGGCCCAAGGCCCAGGCGGGAATTCGACTCCCCCTACCCCCCCATCGCCCAGCCCGAGGGCGGCGCCGTCCTGAGGGCAAGGGAGCGCCCCCCTGAGCCCGAGCCTAGCAAGACTTCAGCCTCTCGCGCCGGCACCCCCACCCCAGGAATTTAACCCCCTCCCCACCGAGAGCCGCATTCCCGGCCCTCGGGAACCCAGCAGATGGGGTCAGGAGACTGAGAGAAGGGGAAGATCTCTCCAACCTCTCCAGCTGAGCCTGTGGGCCGTACGCTTGGGAGGGCAGAGCTGGCAGGTGGGCGGATAAGCGGGGGGACAGGCAGGGCCCTGCGTACCATGGTGCCGTGGCGCTGGGGGCTCACAGGGCCCCGCGGGATCGCGCTGCCCCCGGCGGCCG